GTTTGAATCTTGACTTGCTTATGACAAGAAAGCACTTCGAATGCCAAGATGGAGTCAAAAAATGACTTCCATAAAAGACTAAAGTCACTCAACCACCATTTGATCTAACATATAGAACAAGAAAGATACATAAATTATGTCAAGGATACCTAATGGAGTTGTTAAGGTCTTAGATCTATATCGATTTGGCAAAATTTCTCCAGGGTCGAAGCAAAAAGACGATGATTTCTTTGAAACCTAATAATCCCGACGTAAATGACCTATCTTGGACAGGAGTACTCATGGACTTAACCAGCACACAAGAATTAACACATGATGGCATCATATCGCAGTATATGAGAAAGAAAGAAAAAAAAGAAACAGGAGGTTAAGGAAGCAATATTGTTGGTTGGTGATCAAACGACAGAACCATGTATTACCTCAAATGGAAAACGCTGCCACGTCAACGATTTTCCCTCACTATGTTGGAGTTTCACTTAAAGGTTTAGGATTGAATTAGCAAAAATATTCTGACAAAAAAAAAAGAATTAACAAAATTGAAAAGTTTATGATTGAATTGATATTTGTACAATATGTTTAAAACGGATTAGGTAATTTTCCCTACCTCAAGTGTACAATCTTAGATAAATTACGAGAAGTTATAGCATGATTTATGAATTTCGTGGGCCAATATTATCTGCATCATTGATTATGTGGGTCTCACCATGGGACCCAAATATTGATGCTTCAAATGGACTTGATTTATATGATTTATAGACCTTCCAATACTTTTTCTTTCACAAATTAAAAGTGATGAAGGTTTTTTGACACTCAATTGACCAAAATACAGTCTTTGGGGAAATTACCAAGAAATTCCTAAACCTTTTACATATGTGTCAATTTAGTCTTAAACTTTTCAATTAACCAATTGAGTCATAAACCTTTTGACGATTTGCCAATATAATCCATCCGGCTAATTTTATCCTAAAACCGCTAATGTGAACTTTGACTATCCTACGTGGCCAAAACTGACATAGACAATTTTTAATTTTTCTTTAGAATTTTTTTTTCTTTCTTTGTTATTCCCTTTTCTTTTCGCTAGTGGCCGGTCGCCGGCATAAGCAATAGCCGGCAAGGACGAGTGCCAGCGAGGGCCCCCCTTGCTAGATCTGGCAAGGGGGCTCTTGCCCGTGCTCGCCTCGCCCAGGCCAAGGTGGTCTCGCCCTCTCCTAAGCGAGGCCCAGCAAGGTTGACCCTCTCCCAAGCGAGGCCAGCAACCAGCCACTGGCAAAATGAAAAGGGAATAACAAAGAAGGAAAAAAAATTCAAAAAAAAAGAAAAAATTTCAAAAATTATCCACATTAGCGATTTTCAGCCAAAATTAATCGGATAAACTACATTGACAAATTATCAATAGGTTTGAGACTTCAATTAACACAATTGAAAAGTTTAAAGTTAAATTGGCACAAATGCAATAAATTTAAAACTTTCTTGGTAATTTCCCCGCACTTCTTTACCCAAAGTGTAACAAACAACCAGCTACCAAACATGAGCATTGACGCAATTATCCCTTTTCCTTGCACCCTTTTTGATCAGAATCTTTTCAGGATATAAAGAGGAGGATTATCTCAACGATCACACGTCCGATTAATTAGAGATGATATCCAATTCTTGACCTCGCTCACGTCTTGTACAAGTCATGTCCAACCTCCAAAAATCATCTTTTCGAGGCACGCCTTGGATTAGCCTTTGGCAGATTCCTCTCCATCTATCGCCATCGGATATCCAACTTTTGTTACAAAAAAAAATGAATAAATAAATAAAGATGTTACCTTCTTCCTAGTGATCATTGCTCTCTTTCGCCAACTTCATTTTAATGCTGACGTGACTGATGGATACATTTATCTTCATTTCGCTAATTCCTCGTCCACGTAATAAAGTTACTCATAACAGGCAATGGTGGAACATTCTTTACATCTTCATAGAAATTGAGGGGATGGTCTCTCTTTTTCTCTTTAGTTGGTTCTTTCAATTCCCACGTTGAATGAATTCTTAAGAAAGATAGTCTGTGATTGGTGCTCCGACCATTACAGCCAATAATGCATGGACAACAATCCTCAACCCTCAGTGGTGTTTCAAATCATCACATTACAAGACGCGTCCATCACATTTGGAATTCACTACACACAATCATAGCCTTCCAGATGTGACTATAACCATCGAAATTGACGGTAAACGACTAGATCTAAGGACGAAAAGGGCCTCTAGACCTACTTGGTCCCTCCTCCAAGTTTCTTGTTGCAGTCAGCACCACAATCATGGACGGTGACATGATGGAGCTTGGTGTGCGGTGTCGAGCTCAACGTTGCCTAGAAAAGGAAAGAAAGTCTTTTGAAAAATCAACTAAGCTTTCTAGTTTGAGTTAGGATCCCCCTTTCACAATGCATGAGGCCTGCCAATTTGATTAAGGAAAAGTTGAATATTCCTAAATTCTTATGCATTGGATCTTTTCTATTGCAATGTCTCATATTTGCTTGAATTATCTGTTGTCTTTTATGTCTCCTGATTTATTTAGGTAGTTGAGTAGCTCATGAAAGAAAAAAAGACAAGTCAATCATGGAAAAAGCAAGTTATCGACGACGAAACCTCACATCATATCTCTCAAGTCCTGAGGTGGATCAAACGCATCGAAATCAACCAATAACCTACGGATAATCGGCTGCATCTTCTGTTTCTGGAAGTGAAATGTTACTATGATGTCCTTTCCCACTAAAAATCTTTTTACTGTTAGACATCGTAATCAAATGTCATCTCAAGGCTATAGCCACGAAGGAACGTGCTTATCATTTGGTAATTTGGTGCGTTTGCTCTTTTTCCGAGTAAAAGAGCAAATGATGGATCAGTCATTTCAAAATAACATAATTTTTGGCCCCCCAAAAATAAATTCACATAATCTTTACGTGGTGAAAATCAATAGGAAAGAGTTGGCAAAAGCAGCAAATTCAATTTTTCAAATGTGGAATTTGTTTTCTTTTTTTTTTGTTTTTCATTTTTTGAGAAATGAAATGAATCGGTCATGAGGTTGCATCACTTGTGCTTGATCCTTTTTAAGTGCCGAGAGCCCACCCACTGATAAAGCATTTGAGATATGAAACACGACAATTCATTCACGGGCGAGGGCATTATATCCTTTGGAGATAATGTACTCCACCTCCGGTTGTCATTACATATTTTTCATGTTTCCAATCTTATTGCACTACAAAAAAATGAGGATTTAGCCACAAAAATTAGCCACGAAAAATATTCGTGGCTAATTTGCTACGGAATTTGTGACGAAAACTAAATTCGTGGCTAATTAGCGACAAAAATTTCCGTAGCTAATTTGCGACAGAATTTGCGACGAAAAAAAATCGTGGCTAATTTGCGACGGAATTTGTGACGAACAATTTTCCGTGGCTAATTTGCGACGGAATTAGCAACGAAAAACAAATTCGTCGCTAATTAGCCACGGATTTAGCCACGAAAATAAAAATAGTCGCGAAAGTGAAGAGAGAGTTTATTTTCGTGGCTAATTAGCCACTGATTTAGCCACGAATGTAAAAAAGTAGGTAAAGTGAAGCGAAAGTTTATTTTCGTGGCTAAATCCGTGGCTACTTAGCCACGCATTTTGCCACGAATTTATTTCGTGGCGAAACCGAAGAGAGAGTTTATTTTCGTGGCTAAATCCGTGGCTAATTAGCCACGAATTTTGCCACGAATCTATTTCGTGGCTAATTAGCCACAGATTTAGCCACGAATGTAAAAAAGTAGGTAAAGTGAAGCGAAAGTTTATTTTCGTGGCGAAACCGAAGAGAGAGTTTATTTTCGTGGCTAAATCCGTGGCTAATTAGCCACAATTTTGCCACGAATATATTTCGTGGCTAATTAGCCCGATTTAGCCACGAATGTAAAAAAGTAGGTAAAGTGAAGCGAAAGTTTATTTTCGTGGCGAAACGAAGAGAGAGTTTTATTTTCGTGGCTAAATCCGTGGCTAATTAGCCACGAATTTATTTCGTGGCTAATTAGCCACATATTTAGCGCGAATATAAAAAAAGTAGGTAAAGTGAAGCGAAAGTTTATTTTCGTGGCGAAACCGAAGAGAGAGTTTATTTTCGTAGCTAAATCCGTGGCTAATTAGCCACGAATTTTGCCACGAATTTATTTATGGCTAATTAGCCACAGATTGTGAACGTAAAAAATAGGAAAAGTAAAGCGAAAGTTTATTTTCGTGGCTAAATCCGTGGCTAATTAGCCACGAATTTTGCCACTAATTTATTTCGTGGCTAATTAGCCACTAATTTAGCCACGAACGTAAAAAAGTAGGAAAAGTGAAGCGAAAGTTTATTTTCGTATAAATCCGTGGCTAATTAGCCACGAATTGTGCCACAATTTATTTCGTGGATAATTAGCTCTGATTTAGCCATGAATATAAAAAAAATCAAGAACCGCCGGACGCGACCGGACCGCGACGAGCCCGCGATCTGTCGTCGATCGACGCATCCTCGGTGGAGTCCGAGCCGAGCTCGAGGTCTCGAGGGGCAACAGAGAGATTGGGATGGCGGAGAGACGACAAACGTCTTCATCGGGAGGCGACGGAGATCGTGATGCAAGGAGCGATCGGGAGGATAGGGTTCTGCGGTGGCCGCAGGTGCTCGATATGCAAGTGGTTGGGGCTGCCGCGCGGATGAGAGATTTAAGCCGTTGTTGAAGTCGAGTGAGTCAAGCGGCGCGGCTGCGGATCGGTTGTTGGCTCACCTCGGTCGGGAACTTATTGTTTCGATCCGGATTAAGTGTCTATCGGCTCAAGCGTTAGGGTTTTTTTGCTTATTTCATTGCACCGAGGATTGATTTCGAGATAATCGCGGCGTATGTAGCATGTATGGCTACGTTTTGGTGGCCTGTGAGGGATAAACGCTTTACCGTGCTACTGCGATGATAGGGAGTCTCTTTTCAATTTTAATTTTCGTACGGATGATTCAGAGTCCCTTATGAGATATTGCATGATTGGACCGTTATTGAGAAGGTTTGGGTAATTTGTTCAAGTTGTTGTTTGATTTTGGCTTATTGGATTTGCTTTTGTTTTTAATCATCAGCATTTCGAGCCTGCAGAAGTTGGAATACTGGCCATATGCTTTTGCATGCCACTTGTTTCGATTCGAGTTGGCAAGATAGACAAGCAAGGGACTCTTCTTTGCCCCACATCAACAAGGTAAATGAAGTTCTGATCTGTATCGGTTTTCGGATTCTTGTATGTGAATTGTCTGTTGGCTTGTGAGCAGCTTAGTTTGGTTTCTGCTGATGAGTTGCCAATGTTTTCCGGTAATATACATAGTTCAGCTGCAGACTAATTTTATCAGTGGTGCTCTTTGGTTTACTATTAGAATTTTGTTTGTTATCAAGTGATTTTCCTTTACGTTTCTCAGTTGCTATATGGATGATTATAATTTTTGGAAGTTTAACAAGCTTAGAATTGGCTTTATTAGGAGTTGTATTGTTTATGTTCTGATCTGTCGCATTTAAGTGGCGCATTTTCTGTCTTGTATCTTGTTCCCTTCATCTGGAGTGTAGTTCTTGTAAGCTTTCATTTTGTAGTGCGAGTGCGTACTATGTGTTTTGATTGAGCATTTGTTAGTTTTGTGTTTAGAGAACGGTTCTTCGTACGATTTTTCTACAATGTTTAAGGAGGAGTATGCTTGCTGTTTTTCTGTTCCTAGAGTTCCTTATCCTCATTATTTCAAATTTGCTAGTTTTTATTGCCATTTTGTGTGGTGGAGTTCTGTCTTTTGGTTCTTATTACAGCTAAGCTATGTAATGCTAATTGTGGGCACCTCATCAGGAGATCATGTTGTCAGTCTTCTTTGCAAGCAGCCAGTTTAAAATATTCTAGATGAAAGTATTTGACACATATTGATATACCAGTAAGTTTGTGTAAAGTAAACGTCAGATGCTGGACCGTAACAGTTTTTTTTGTTTTCTGATGTAGTTCTCTTCTTGTTGGAATTTTTTTGGATACATATGGATATAGGTATTGATGGCAGTAATATTGGCTGATGGACAGTAGTTTATGTTTACCCTACTATTTTCTCTCTTCATAATGGGAGATTTACCCTCTTGACAATTATGTCATAGCATCAGAGTCTTCGAATTGAGCAGTTCTTGAATGTCGTTTGTGAGATTATTTTCCAAGAAATGGTGGATATTACTTGAATAATATCAACTTTGCATATAGTCCATGATATCACTGGAAATAATCTTAAGTTGAGGATTTAATGTTGTAGCTTCTTGTTGGTATCCATGTTCATTCTTCCCAATAAATATGTCTTTTGACTTGTAGGTGAAGTGGGCGTATCTTATTATGATCTCTGAATTAAGGGGGAGTCAAGGTAGTTTCATGCTCCTATATGATCTTGTCGACTGTTGCTTTTTGAATGTATATAGGATCTGAATTCAACAAGTAGAAAATGTTAGTGACTATTTTTGTTCTTATGCTTGTCATTTAGGTAGGTCTTGTGACACTGTAATTTTGATCTCATTAAGTTCTCTTCAGTCAATTGGTTGTTATTGTTTGCATTTGACAATTAATAGTTATGTGAACTGACTTTTTATATTACCCTCCGAATTTGTCACATTTACATCTCCATTTCCTTGAACATAGATGGTACTTGCTGTTTATATCTATGTTACCGAATGGTACTCATTTCTGGAACTGCTTGGTCTTTCAACATATTGTTAGAATTTGTGGAGTTATTTCGGATGCTTGAAAGTCATGCAAAGGAAATACCTTTTGTAAGATGTCCTAGAATTAAATCATAGGTGCAGCCAGAATAAGCATGTACACACAAGGATGCAGTTAGTTACATGACGATTCTTTTAGGTCTAAAGTTACCTGAGAAATTTAGCCCAGGTCAAGTATTGATATACACGGCAAAAAAAAAAAGGACTCGAGATAAATCCATTACATATGTGATAGGCGATAGATAATCCCATTTAGTGTTTTTACAGGAGATTTGCGTATTAGGCGTTGATACCAAACTTGCACATTGCTATAGTAATCTTTCCGTCACCGGCTCGTTAATTTCTTAGCTGTCTCAGAGAAATAGACAGTTTAAATTGTTTGTTGGTTATATCCCTGTTAATTTCTGAGCTAGAGAATAAAATTTTTTTTGAAAATTTTTTTTTTTCGAAATTTTTTTTTGTTTTTTCAGGACAAATTAGCGACGAATTTTGCTACGAATACAGTTCGTGGCAAATTTTTTTTAAAAAAATAGAATTTTTTTTTAAAAATAATTTTTTTTTGCTTTTTCGAGGCAAATTAGCGACGAATTTTGCGACGAATACATTTCGTGGCAAAAAAAAATTTGTTTAAAAAAATAGAATTTTTTTTTTGTTTTTTCGGGGGAAATTAGCGACGAATTTTGCCACGAATATAGTTCGTGACAAATTAGCGATGAATTTTGCGACGAATACAGTTCGTGGCAAATTAGCGACGAATTTTGCCACGAATAATTTGCGACGAATTTTGCCACGAATTTTGCCACGAAAAATTTGCGACGAATTTTTTTTCGTGGCAAATTAGCGACGAAAATTGAAATTTTTCGTGGCTAAATTTTGCGACGCCGAATTAGCGACGAAATTTTTTTCGTCGCAAAATTCGTCGCAAATTCATTTAGCGACGAATTTTGCCGAATTTTTCGTGGCAAAATTCATGGCTAAAACCTTATTTTTTTGTAGTGTTGGGTTCGAGGGGACTCCTATAATGAGGCAGACACCTCCATATTTTTAATGTTTTCCAATCATATTGGGTTAAAGTGGACTCTTGTAATGAGCCGGACATCTCCACATTATAATGAATTTGATTTGTCGCAACCGTTGAATTCGACTAAGTGGGAGTCACATGCTCTAATGTCGTGACGTATTAGGCTTGCATGAATCTGATGTACCCAAATGAGTTCCCATGTTGGGTGTGGGGGTGGGGGTGTTGAGAGTGTGGATGTTTAGATTTGAGGGAAAATTGGATTAGGGGTGGTGAGCCTTAAAGTTGGATAGACATGCGTCGCAATATTGTGATTGGCACAACAGATGATTTCAAAGCAAGATATGACAGATCTGTATTTGAGCATTTCATTGTTGTTCGCCTCTCTTTTTCTCTAGATCATCCATTTTATTGTTTTGTTTTGTTATCAGATATGAAGGCGTTGCTCATACACAACTGGATCGGGCATTATCAAGAAAGTCATGTCTTTAAAAAGCTTGTGAGTTGCTAGTATTCGATAAGATATATGTTCAATTTTCAAAATATATATTACATTTATCACAAGATAAATCAATGCATTAAGACTTAAAAATGTATATGTATTATTTGATTACTTAAACAAGTGAAATCCTTATTTAAATTAGATCTTCGGTTAAATTCATTAATAAGTTAGCTTTACTTCTTCTTCTTCTTTTTTGTCAAAAGCGTACTTCATATCAACTTAAATAAGTTAGCTTTTTTTTTTTGTCGAAAAAAGAAGTTAGCTTGACTATTAAATGAAGTGCACCTCACGTGAGAACCATCTAATCTAACGGTGCTTGTGAACCAGTCTCCCATGCGTCAAAAGAAGTCAATATTGTCTCTTTTTAGACAGAGTGGCGGCTTGCTATATGGGGCTTTTTATGGTTTATCGGCGAACCAATCCTCTGGTGTAACTAACCTTAATTATGAGCATTTTATCTTAACTCTTACATAAAATGTCTCAACATATAATAACTTATGATGTTTATTTATAGTGTTTATGACTGGAGGTGTGATTTTCTCTTACTTCGACCCTCAGGCCACGACATCCACGAAGAATGATCCTCCAATCCGGGGAAAATCGAGAGGAACCTAAGCAAGGCCGATGGATTATGGGGATCTTTTTGGAAAGGAAATGGCATTTAGGACATCAATCCCGAAGGTCAGGGCAGCAAAAAATAGATAGGAAAGAAAGGATACCATGGCCTAACCAAGAGAGACATTCTACCATGACAGGGTACAAATATCTAAATTGGATATTTTTAGATATTTTTTCAGACCTATTGCCGATATTAAGTTATTCATCCACTTTATATTTTGAAAATAGGTTGGTTGAACTTGAGAATTCACTCATTGAAATTGAATAAGTAAACAAAATGGTATTGGATTAAGTTGGATGGTACCAATGAATGCTGTAATTGTAGGGGCTTACCTTTACTTTTAGGGAGGAGCCAAGCCCATGACCACCACCTTTTATAACATCAGCATGTCACGGGGAGGTTATAAAATAGTTTAAGAAGATGCTCAAGAAATCCTTCATCAGTGGTTGTGAATGACTGATTTTTTTTTCAATCTTTTCGACCCATGTTGCACGACCTCTTAACATTACACTACTAAATCCCCAATCCTTTGCTTGCTATGCACTGACAATACCAATATCCACTGATTGTTGTTTCCACATACAGTTGCCGATACCTAAAAAGGGGGCAATGGACGACACGGCAGCCGAACGGCGGCGACGGCGCGGCGGCGGTGGGAGGCGACCGACGGCAACGGGTGGGTGGGCTGCCGGCTAGTAGTGAGAAAGGTAAGTGAAGAGAAGAGTTTTTATTTCTTATTTCTGTTCCAAAAATAGAAAAGTAAAAAATTTTACTTCTAATTTCTGTTTCAAACCTATTTCGGGAGTAGAAATTTGTTCCAGAAATAGAAAAATGAAATTGCATTACCAAATGGATTTATGTTCCAAACCTGTTCCTGGGAACAGAAAAATAGAAAAATAGAATGGTTATCATGTACGCCTTAATTGTAGCTTCAATTTATCCATGTCAGAATGGAGCATTAGTATCTGAATATTCAAATAATAAAAAATAGAAGAAAAAATAACATTGAGACGGTTATAAATTCCATAGAATTTCCCTTATTTGCTCGAACAATCCAAAATTTAGTTATTTCAACTATATCATATTCGACCAAACAAAAAAAAAAACTACATCATATGATCTTTCAAATTAGTTAAGGCTCTCTAATTTATTAAATCCGGTCGCCTGACCACCTTTGCTGGTCGCGCTTAGGGAACGGAGGCTTTGGATTTAGATATTTCTCTTGATTCTAGTGTCTATTGCACATATTTTGATTGAATCAATTTATCAATTATCAAATCACATAATTTAAATATAAACGATGTGAATAAATTGATTATAATTCTCGACGAAATATAAAGTTTAATTGATTCCATGGTACATTGCGCCTGTTGTTGCAGGCTCTATAGTTCAATTATTATTCTTCCAATATGCCTTTTATTGTCATCTATCGACTGCACTTTGTAACATACATCATTGGCGAGGGACTTTCATTTTTTTACAAAAGAACATTGTAAATGATAACGAATGTGTAAAATTGTTATCATAATTAAAAAAAATTGAAAAATGGATCGATTACTAAAGTTCACAAATTCACTCCGACAATCCACATATTTCGGATCACCGGCAGTATACTTCACCCCTCCAGGTCTAGATCCATCCCTGGTCCAGTGACCTTGGCCCGCTGTCGGGTGGCCACCGTGACGCGGTTGGGCAACTCACAGTGGCTTGGCCGAGGTACTTCCATCGGGTTGTCTACGGATCTGAGATCCGGTACTGGACCCAACGACAGGGTCCGTACGACGATAGCATGATTGCTGCGATCTTGTAAGTAAGCTGTGAAAGAGCACTCGTTAGGGGAGAAACGCATTAAACTGAAGTCAAACATGGTTTATATTGAAGCTGGTCCTGAAGTTCAGATTCACTGTGTCTTGGCCAAACTCTAGGATCATTCGAAAAGTAGGTTTCGGTGGGTAGAGATTGATGCTGTGCGAATGGCGACGGAAAGGAAGCCACGCGGATCTCTTGAACTTCTCCCTCTTTTGTTTTCTTCTTGGGTCAAGATCGGGATTGGACTTTGACCCACCACAGAGAACTCCTTTTTGGGGAAGTGAGGGCGACTGGTAGTGGCGAAATGAACAGAACCAGTGCACGCGAACAATGCCCTTTTGCCACTTCATGGTGAGAAATGATGAGGTTCAGATGCATTTTCGAGGCTATGTTTCGAGTAAGGTTTTTCTGGCATTTTCCAGGACTCGTTTTCGGCCCCCCTTTAGATCCTTGCTCACTTTTCCCTGAAAACGTCTCGCAGCTTTTTTGTACTTTGTCAGTAACTCGTGAGTTGGAAGTAAATTATTGAGATGCCACGAGTTGGATTCATGGAATGTTGCAGTTGTTTTGGAAAGGTAAAAAGGACACTGACTATGCTATACTTTCCGTACGGAAATCATTTTGAAGTACAGCTGTTCGAGTGACCCATCAACTAAGTCGTAAATCGGGGATCTTCCTTGCCTAAAACTCCTGCATTGATTTAATTTGATAAAGTCATCCGATGTGGCTCACCGGAGAAACGATGTCATTAGAAAGCGTTGAGAATGATGAGGTTGGATTGCAATCGGAACCTGAGCACCCTATTCAGTTGCAAATACGAATTTTGCAGGTAATGGGAACTTGCTGCTGAAATTTGCAATGGAGAGTAGGAGCTAGAGAAGCAGCTCGTGATCGTCTCAACGAAGTCGGGTTCTTCCCCAAGACGAAAACATCAAAGTGATTAAGACGGAATTGAATCAGTGGAAAATCGTGAAGGGCCTTAGGACATATGAGTTGCCATTTTGAATCTCTCACCGATGGACGAATTGAGAGAGATGAAGTAAACAAAACCAAAGCACAGGTTAAGCTAGTGTTGTTCAAAGCCCGAGCTCCACAAAACTAGGTCGAAAGTCTCAATCGCGGAGCCAGTTGAAGTTAGAACAAATAGAGTTCAATCGAGGCTTTATCTCGTGGTTCAGGAGCTACCGCTAAAAGTAGGCGAAGCCAAGAAGGATTGCGGAGGTTAAAGGAAGAAGTGGATAAGGCCGCTGAGGAATTAGAAAGAGTACAACCGCTCTAGTAGAATTCATAGCTCAGGAGAAAAAAGTCTTCAAAATGGATTGAGCGAAGTAGAAGAAGGTCTGGGAGACGAGAACAGCACCAAGAGACCAATTTGGCTGGAAGAGTGCGACTTTTTTCTTCACTTTGCCACGTTAGACTTAACTATCTTTGAATAAAGTCGGGCAGGATATGTCTATTATTAAATCAATACAGCATAGGATTCTCATCTTGAATATGTTGCTGGAGTAACTTATTAAGTGATCGATTTTCTAAAGTTATGATATTTAAGTAATCGCTTGAAAGATCATGATATCAAAGTGAACGCCGTATGAAAGTTATGATATTATTAGTGTCCTTTTCTCGGCAATGATATGTTGAAATTTAATAGGATCACGAACAAGTGTCATGGGTTAGTGATGGTGAAATTGATATTGGGACCTAATCATGCCCTTTTTCTTTAATTTTGTGAAGGCCTTGGGCCCCCAGTCCATTAAAGCATACAAGGCCCTCTTGCTGGACTTCTTTCTTCCCAAAAGAGCAACAATTATGCAAGACTTAGCCCAAACTCAAGCTCTTTTACTTGGCCCATTTTACTTGCTCTCCCAATGATGATGATTTCGAACCACTGTTTGGCCGACAAGGGTCCTCGATCATGCTCGGTGTCTCCGTTGGTGTCTCAACACATCTCAATTGCTTATAAACCGTCCATGAACTTCACAACTATCCTTATTCTCACAGATTAGTCGTGGTGAAAACTATCCAAAAAGTCATAAATTCATTGTGTTTTTGCCAATTCAGTCATGAACATTTTAATTTTGCTAATTGAGTCTAAACATTTTCGCGTTTTACCAGTTGAGATCATCCGATCAATTTTGGCTGAAAATCGTTGACGTGAACGTCGGTAGTCCTGTGTGACATGGCTTGCGCTAATGTGAACAATTTTTTATATAATATTCTAATATTTTTTATTTTTTATTTATTTATTTATTTACTCCTCTGGCAGGTGAGGGCAGCGACACCCTCATTGGCCATAGGCGAGGGCAGCGACGCTTTCACTGGATCTAAGCGAGGGTGTCGCGCCCTTCGGCAACCTCACCAGGCCGAGATGTAAAATGAAAAAAATGAAAAATGAAAAATGAAAAGAAAAAATGAATAAATAATTTGAAAAAATATTTAAAATAACCCACGTCAGCGTCGGTCGTGCCACGTAAAACGGCCATTGTCCAAGTCAGCAATTTCCAACTAAATTTGGCCGGATGGACTCATTTGGCAAAACATGAAAAGGTTTAGAACTCAATTGATAAAGTTAAAAGATTTAAGATTGAATCAGCAAAAGTGCAACAAGTACAATTTTCCCATTAGTTGTTTAGATGAACGAGATAGATGGATACACGAGTTAATTATTTGGATGATGAGATATCAGATGATCGACAGAGGCAGAGGATCTCGGCCCTTTTGAACTTTTCTTTCATAAGCCTCCCCCACGTATACATAGCATGATATTCCGACAGTTACCATATGTCCTCATCCTAATGTTTTATCAAAATCATCCTCAAGTTTTGACCTAGCAATCCATATCAATATTATCTAAATAGCCCATCTAATGTGTCTTGGGTTCACTTAATGCTTTCTCCTATATATGGCCAACCGATACTATAGCTTTCGATGTTAACCCTAATTTGTAACTCGAGATCCATCCATGTAGATCGTTTCAACTAAAAGTGTCTAACCCATATCACAACATTCGAATCTTCACATATTTGCGCATTCTTTTAGGACCGCCTCCAGAATAACATATCCGCGCGTCTACGGTAACCGCCCCATACGTGCAGAACGGGGAGATTGCGTACCTTATGGGGATTAGTCGGACGTTGAAAATGCTCCGGACACGCGCCGAATTATATTGTAATCCACACGCCCGACCAGCAAATTTTTGCTCCCACATAGTACACAGTTATCTGATTTCGTCCATGCTGTTGTCATGTTGCTGTCGAAGGAGAAAGCGTTTACTTTCTAATGCGAGCCGAAGGCCCTTCTCGGCACATTCAATGACTTTTTCTTCAACCCCCGTCACTTGATAAACCTCGTCCGGCCGATTAGGTGGAGATGAAGAATATAAATTCGAAAGTTTGGAATCATGTGGGGGATATGACCAAACCATTTATCAATTTGCAAGTAAGATGATGATGATAGGAGACAAGTTGGAATGCAATTCTTGAGCTTGTTTTGCTTTGCTTAAAATCCAAAACTTATTAGGTGGTGACGAGCCTGCAGGCAATAGTATTGTTCTATTAGGTGCTCACTCGAATTCCTAGGTCATCGCATCATTTCCACTGAGGTTAGTTGAGAGTGTTGAAAAATGCATGGCATGCCTGATCAATTCAAAGATTTTTTTGCCCAACTTCATTTGATCTTCACTAGAAAAAAGAAATTCAAACGGTAAAGAATGCAAATAAGAAATCGTGCTCCGAAAGATTCAACCAACCCCGTTTTATGGTCAACGAGAGACAATCACTTTCATATAATAACTAATCATTTTTCTATTGTTATTTTTAATAGTGAATAAAGTTGGAGAAGAGAAAATGTGTGATCATGCTGAACCTAATCCCTGCATGATTCGTTAATTATTTTTCTTGTGTGTAGTAGGTGGTCAAAGATAACGTCGGCTTTCTGTCGAGGGGTTTCTAGTTTTGGTTTTACATTCTTGACGCGCAAGGACGGAGGGTTTGTCAAAGAAAGGCGTGAGTAGGTTTTGCTTAGCCCGGCGACATCGACCTTGCGTAAAGGATTCGAATTATACCTTCAATGGGGGAAGTACCTAATGATTGCTAAGAATGTTCGGGAGTCATGTTATGCGTGCTTTCAAATGCACAAAAGCTATCGATACTGGTTAGATGTAACGATTCGGTTTGACGAGAGCAAGGAATGGTCACCAGGGGCAGAAGGCCCGAAAAAGAAACAGTTCCTGACAAGTTTCTAGAATGGTGAAAAGGGCAGGAACGAACCGAATTATGCACAGATTATAGGAAAAGTGATCCTGGATATATATATGAAAACTGGAATTAACTCATTGAAACTCATTTTGACGTAAAGGTAATGCTTAGCTTTGGAACTTTAAAGTTAAGCGTGCTTTGGTAGGCCAGTAACAACCCAATGAGCGATTGCCAGGTCTAGAGAGCTCAGACAAGGAGCAGTTCTTAATAAGCTTTTAGGATGGCGAAGGAGGCAGAAATGAACCAAACAATAGGAGAGCGATTCTTGAATGTGTGTGTGTGTGTGAAAACTAAAATTAACTCATGAAGACCCCTTTTGACGATACAACAATGCTTAAATGCTTAGTTTTGGAACTTCAAAGTTAAACGTGCTCCTAGGATGAATGACCTCCTGGGAAAGTGCTCACCTATACACCAAAAGAAAAACCATGAGACGGGCCAAAGAGACGATACCTTAGTGAGTTAATTCGGGAATGTTCCATTAGAATTGAGTTTCAATGAAATTTTTGTTTTTGACATTGGACATACAAGTAATATTAACACCGAATGCGGTTAATTTTCTGATCGAGATCAACCATACACTTCATCCTGACTCAAAATTACATGGACGAATGAGAAATTTCACACGACAATACCGACGGATCAAATTCATTCACTGGATGGATTCACTCCTGATCAAATACCGAAACGGTAATGTACATACTTTCGGGTCACTTCAGTAAATACGGACGGCTTTCTCTGAATGATCTCGGTACATCTAGCATTTCTCTTTCTCGACTGCAGAAGAAGACATGGAGAGATGAAGAAGTAGGTGAATGATGATGATGAACACATGTGCAGAGTCTTCCTTTTTAGCTGGCGATCGACGTGGGGACGCTTATACTTCCATAAACAAAACCCATTGTGTCTCCTGTTGTTCTTGCCGAGCTGGTTGACTCGTATTTGGTGGAGCCATTACCCGACGAACTTGAACCATTCCATCTCTAAAGTCGAACACTTTTGAGAGAGAGAGAGAGAGAGAGAGAGTGTGTGTGTGTCTCTCAGGGTTAGGTAGACAAGACAGAAGAAAATTGGAGCTTCTACCTAAAAACTGGTTGCCCACTTCTGCTGTTAGAATTAACATATTTTTTCTAAAAGATTAAATGGGGTAACTTCTTCTTCTGATGATCAAATTAAGGAAAAAAAGGATAAGAAAATGGGACAGAGTTCATGTGTTTGAACAGTACCAGGTCCTGGTGCCTTATAAAATGCACAACATGCCTACGAGACCTTTTGCCTCTCTCTCTCTCTCGCTCCTCCCTCTCTCTCTCTCTCTCTCTCTCTCTCTCTCTCTCTCTCTCTCTCTCTCTCTCTCTCTCATTGCTCATCTCTCATCTCTCTTGAGTTTTAGAGACGACGTGGCAATGGCTTCTCTCATGCCGGCACTGCTCGTTCTGCTGCTGGCGATTCCGGCGAAGGTGCATGGAGCGACCCACACCGTGGGGGATTCCACTGGGTGGACCCAGGGTTATGACTACTCGACTTGGGCTGCTGGCCAGACTTTCAATGTCGGGGACACTCTTGGTATGCTAAGCTGACCAATCACTCTATAGACATAGATGTCTTTCAATATTTGCTTATGCTTGTAAGCCTTTGAATTGCCCCCTTAAAAATCGTTTATATCGCCCGATATCGTGTTACTTCAAGAAATGAAATGTTGATAACTTTTCTAAATGTGCATTGAGAAGACACTTTATTCGAGGAACGTTATCGATGCGTCGAACAATATAAAACTTTAATTTGCAATATGCTTTCTGCCATTCCTAACGGGGAAATGGTTACAAGTCTAACTAAGGGGTGTTTGAATCAAAATCATGCGCTCAGATTGAACCTGAAAAGGACATATATATGTGATTAAGTTTGTGTGCCTGAAATTTTATGTATGAGATTAGATTATTGGAAGTACAAAATTGTCAAAAGCTTGACATTACTGCGAAAGTAGATCTATATTTTCCAATGACATATATGGCTTTACTAATTTATTATATCACATCATGTCATAAACGATATTTAGATTCATTCATTTATCATCTAGGATTAAATTATATACACATGGACTGTATAATGTTCTTTTATACAACCCACGTTCAATCAAGCCAATCACTTGCAGCTAAATTGCTCAAATTCAGGCAATCATTGAATGTGGATGGACTGTGTGCGTGAACTGTCTGAATCGACTCCATATTATATTTTATGAGAGGTCTAGATGTCTACCTAGACTTAGGTACAACGAATCGTTGACCCCGTGACAGTTCTTTGTGATCTAGTTTCCATGCTAGCACGATTATGATCAGCAATAATGTCCCCTTTTTATCCTAATCTAATAAGCTCATTAACCTTTTTTTTTCTCATTAACCTTTTTTTTTTCTATTTTTTCGATACATCAATCTAGTGTTTTCGTATACCTCGCTCCACTCGGTTGACCAAGTGAGCAAAGACGACTACGACAACTGCAACTCCGGCAACGCCCTCCAATCCTACTCCGGTGGGTCCAACTCCATCACCCTCAGCTCGGCCGGCGCGATGTACTTCATCTGCCCCACGGCTGGCCACTGCAGCGGCGGCATGAAGCTGGCAGTCACCATCGCCTCGTCGAGCACCACCCCCGGCTCCCCGCCATCACCGCCCTCCACGAGCTCACCCGGGTCTCCGCCCTCCACCCCCACAGGAACAACCACTACACCATCACCTAAAGCCAACGGAGCCGCCAGTGTTTTCGGCGTGAGCAATGTGATGCTCGTACTCTCATCCGTGGTAGCGACCGTGATTGCACTAGCGTGCTAGGGAAGAGCCAGTGCAATTTGCTGTGGAATTTAGTTCTCTTTTGTTGGTTGTTGTATGTAACATTTGGCGTGTGGAAAGACATGGTCTCTCGGATTCAATTTGATTATCTATTGAGGTACTTCTGATTCTTGAGCTATGTTAAGTTGCATAAATTGCTATGTATTCAACATATATAACTAATTGGGATTTTCATGACCATTATGAATTGTGCTAATCTAAACTTATTCATATTTTTATAACTAATTATTAGAAGTATCATAATCTCATAAGCGCGACTCTACTTATTTGTAAAAATTTCTTTGTACATGTATACACGTATATTTGATATATACGTTATACGCTATAATAATCTGTATTTAATATATTGCTTGTAACATATGTTTTCTTGACAAATATAAACGAGACGGGGTGGGGCATTTTTCAGAGGGCGCAGACAAACACCCCGCTGTCATGTGGAAAATTTGCTAGATGACTGATTGGATTGCTTTGGGTTTTTTTAACTCTTTGAGTTTATTATTGTTAATAAAGCTAAAAAGAATTTAGAAAATAGTCTTGACCGGTCGAAAAAGAACCAATGTCAGCTCGGTTCCTGGGTAGAATGGGTGGATTCGACCCTCGGCCTAGGAATCAATTCTGATTTTCCCCCAGAGCCATGAACCTACCCAATACTCCCTAGAGCCGGCCTTGAAACAAACCAACTAGGCCAGCTCTTAAATTGAACCCGACCCGACCGTCTCTCACCCCTAACATGAATGGCCATGGAGGGCTGAGAAAAGGTCTCGGGAATGTCTGAACGCCAGGGACTTTTGTTTATCCAATTTAATCCTCGAATTATGTCGTGCGATTTAATTTTTGAACCCAAGGACAATACACGACAATTTCAAGTACTTCGAAGACTATTGTGCAATTAACTCTCATTCTATTATTGCACTAGACAAAAACCTCCATAAATCACCTCACTACTCTGCTCGTGTCCCTCCAAAAGGTATACATTCCACAGTGCCCTCAATTCAATTTGCAATGCCTCCATCAATCGATTCCTCGCAATTTCCTTGTTTTGTTCTTCCTTGTTTGTTCCTGTCAAGACAAGTTTATCTTTCCCATTCGTCGATGTTAGGGGTAGCCAAAATTTCGTCAACTACTTCCTCCTCAAATAAGTTCTGAAGCTGCTGTTCATCCCAAGCAGAAGCGGTATCGTCTATTAAATCAACAACCCATTTGAGGGTCATTTCGATTTACAGGTCCTCCAATCACCCCCAAACTTATTCCCTCGGATTCTAATGTACTCCCCATTGCCCACAGTCGATTGATCTGAGTTTGATATGGCCTCTCTACCCATCAATAAACTCTGACATCCCTATGGTGCTCCGTGTGTCCCTTTCCTGCTAGCCAGAAATTTGTGTTGGGGAAGTAGAGTCCCTTGAAAAGTTGGCTCCAAAGTGTGAATGGTGATTGTATCACCCTCCAGGCCTGTTTGCACAACATAACCCCGTTAAAAGCAATTAGGCCCTTGAAACCCATTCCGCCATTGCCCTTTCTCCTTTTGAGCAGCTCACATCTCTTCCAACGAATCCCAGATTTCGCTTCACTGTTTTTCCATCAGAATGAGGCAAGTTTCTGTTCTATGGCTCGACAAATTGATATTTGTATTTTGAAAATTGACATAGCATATTACGATAAAGCCTGAACTACTGCTTTTAGAAGAATTTCCTTCCCTGCTTTCGACATAAGCTTTTCTTTCCACCCCTCCAGTTTGATGTTCACTTTGGCCAAGCTCCACGCAAACATTTGTTTCTTGGAAGTCTTCCACCAATTTAAGCATATCCTCCTGAATATCTTCCCAATGATGTTGGTAAAACTGCCCATTAATTCCATCTCGCTCAGGTGTTTTCAAGGCTCCCAGTTGGAACAAAGCTTCTTTAACTTCCTGTAATGTAATTTTGCCAATTAAGGATTCATTCACCTACTCCATGGTCAGACAAGGGCATTGGTCAAGAATGGATTGAAAGTCCCGGGTGCGCACCGAGCTATACAATTCTTCGAAAAAGTCTCCGGTTGTCTTTTTGAGTCTACTAGGGTCTCGTCTCCCTCTTATACTTCCAGCATGACTCCCTTCTTTGGATCGTCGTATTATGAAAGTACTTAGCATTTTTGTCCCCTTATTTCAGCCATTTATACATTCCTCAGTGCCCTCAATTCAATTTGCAATGCCTCCATCAATCGATTCCTCGCAATTTCCTTGTTTTGTTCTTCCTTGTTTGTTCCTGTCAAGACAAGTTTATCTTTCCCATTCGTCGATGTTAGGGGTAGCCAAAATTTCGTCAACTACTTCCTCCTCAAATAAGTTCTGAAGCTGCTGTTCATCCCAAGCAGAAGCGGTATCGTCTATTAAATCAACAACCCATTTGAGGGTCATTTCGATTTACAGGTCCTCCAATCACCCCCAAACTTATTCCCTCGGATTCTAATGTACTCCCCATTGCCCACAGTCGATTGATCTGAGTTTGATATGGCCTCTCTACCCATCAATAAACTCTGACATCCCTATGGTGCTCCGTGTGTCCCTTTCCTGCTAGCCAGAAATTTGTGTTGGGGAAGTAGAGTCCCTTGAAAAGTTGGCTCCAAAGTGTGAATGGTGATTGTATCACCCTCCAGGCCTGTTTGCACAACATAACCCCGTTAAAAGCAATTAGGCCCTTGAAACCCATTCCGCCATTGCCCTTTCTCCTTTTGAGCAGCTCACATCTCTTCCAATGAATCCCAGATTTCGCTTCACTGTTTTTCCATCAGAATGAGGCAAGTTTCTGTTCTATGGCTCGACAAATTGATATTTGTATTTTGAAAATTGACATAGCATATTACGATAAAGCCTGAACTACTGCTTTTAGAAGAATTTCCTTCCCTGCTTTCGACATCAGCTTTTCTTTCCACCCCTCCAGTTTGATGTTCACTTTGGCCAAGCTCCACGCAAACATTTGTTTCTTGGAAGTCTTCCACCAATTTAAGCATATCCTCCTGAATATCTTCCCAATGATGTTGGTAAAACTGCCCATTAATTCCATCTCGCTCAGGTGTTTTCAAGGCTCCCAGTTGCAACAAAGCTTCTTTAACTTCCTGTAATGTAATTTTGGCAACTAAGGATTCATTCACCTACTCCATGGTCAGACAAGGGCATTGGTCAAGAATGGATTGAAAGTCCCGGGTGCGCACCGAGCTATACAAGTCTTCGAAAAAGTCTCCGGTTGTCTTTTTGAGTCTACTAGGGTCTCGTCTCCCTCTTATACTTCCAGCATGACTCCCTTCTTTGGATCGTCGTATTATGAAAATACTTAGCATTTTTGTCCCCTTATTTCAGCCATTTATACAAGACCTCATTCCCAATACATCTCTTCTTGTCGCCAAATTTTTTTTTATCTAGTTCTTCAATTGTTGGACCCTTTCTCTGTCATGCTGAAGATCTTGGCCAATCTTCAGAGAAGCAATCTATCGTTGGACATTGGAAAATTTCTTCTTGCTCCATGAAGACAACGCCATTGTAACATCATTCAACTTTTTCGTCAAATTCTTGTTTTCCCTATTGGAAGAATGCCATGTTGATTTTAAAATGCCTTCATATTCTTCATCGTCCATCCAAAATGCCTCGGATTTGAAATCCTTTCGTCTCTTCACAGCTTCTTCGGAGAGTGATAGTAAAATAGGACTATGATCTAAACCGATAGCAGGTAAGGCAAAGGCAACTGCATTAGGAAACATAACTCTCCATTCCACATTACTAAGAACTCGATCTAATCTTTCCTTCACAAAATCCTCCCCTTTTCGGTTGTTAGCCCAAGTAAACTTGCATCATTTGCATTCTAAATCCATCAGTGAACATTCTTCAAGGAATTCCTGAAAAGCCACTGGTCTATAGTGGTTTGCCATTCTTCTCCCCACTTTCTCCCAATGGTCTAGAATTTCATTAAAATCCCCAAGACAAATCCAGAGAATGTTGTTGACTGTATCAATCTTCTTGAACTCCTCTCATAACAGAATCCTCTTCTGGAATATATATATGGGGCATGTACAAAGGTAATGCGCATGAGTTGCTTGCTATCTTCATCCTCGTAGACCAGGTTAATGAACTCATCCGAGTAAGATTCCACTAAAATTAATACTCGTGTCTTCCATATCATAGTCAAACTCCTCGCAATCCCTATTGAGTTCACAACAAAGCTATGTTGAAAATTCAGCCTTCATTGCAACCTGAGTACTACTGGTTCTTTATGTTTTGGTTTCCATTAGGAACATTACACTGGGCCCTTCTTGAGCCACTAAGGCTCACAAAACTTGAATTGTCGGAGGTGTGCCTAACCCCTAATAATTCCAGCTACAAATCTTCATTGGTACCCTAGTGATTTATTAGGGCTAGCTACTAAAGCCCATTCGGTTTCTCCTTTCAATATTTGGATTCGAGTCTCAAGGAGTTGAGTCTCATCAAGACCTTCCTGATTTAGCTTCAAAGAGCCATAAGGGAAGACCTTCCTGGATAAACCCCGGAACCGGACCGAACAAACGGGTAGGTTCCAAGATTCAAAAACCAGGAAACAATCCTAACAATGTAAGTTTCCTGAAAATGACGACCCCTAGATAGTCAGACATGCCTACGCTCTTGGTGGACACGGCACCATGTGTCCATTGTCGCGTCATCCGTTCGCTCAAAATATGGTCCGCTAATGCGGCAACGTCGGATTTTGGACGGCTATCATGTGCAAAAGTCTAGTCTAAGATGTTTTTTTTTTCCTTCTGTCGAACCGAAAAGGATTTATGATGTCACAGAAAAAAGGTCTTTCAAAAGTATGTGCCCCTGATGAACCGACCCGGTAAAAAAAAAAAGGGTTAATACCTTAAACTGGTACATCTGTGATAATTTTAGCCCGAACTAATTTTTGGACTACGAAAAATCCTAAATTGATATACACCTATGATAATTTTACCCCGAACTAATTTTTTTACTACGAAAAACCCGTAACTAGTACAACTATGATAATTTTACCCCGAACTAATTTTTTTACCACAAAAAACTCCAAACTTGTACATTTGTAATAAATTTACCCTCCGTTAAATTGGATTAATATCTGAAAAATCATAAATTGTAAACTTGTGACAAACGAGAGGGTAAAACCCCAAACCCGGTACACCCATCAACTATCACATTTTATCAAACTCAATAATTTGACTGGAAAATTTAACGAAAACTAACGAAGGGTAAATTTATCACAAATGTACCAGTTTAGGGTTTTTGATGGTCAAAAAATTAATTCGGGGTAAAATTATCACAAGTGTACCAGTTTAAGGTTTTTCGTGGTCAAAAAATTAGTTCGGGGTAAACTTGTCACGAGTGTATCAGTTTGGGATTTTTCGTGATCAAAAAATTAGTTTAGAGTAAATTTATCATAGGTGTATCAGTTTGGGGTTTTTGGTGATATTAACCCAAAAAAAAAAAAAGGAGTGTCGGTTTTCCTGTTGATCCGGTCCGGTCCAGAACGACCCGGCCCGTTACGCTCTCGCAAACCGCCATCACGACGGGATGGGGTCACCATAGAAACCTAGCTCTTCATTTTCACGAACACCTGCCAGACCGAAAGGCCTTCTTCGAACCAGGGAGAGAGGGAGAGAGGAAGAGAGGGGGAGGGGGAGATGGCGCAGTACGAGGAGGAGAATACGGAGTTCTACGTACGGTACTACGTGGGACACAAGGGGAAGTTCGGGCACGAGTTCCTGGAGTTCGAGTTCAGGCCCGACGGGAAGCTGCGGTACGCCAACAACTCCAACTACAAGAACGACATCATGATCCGCAAGGAGGTCTGGCTCAACCCCGCCGTCCTCCGCGAGTGCCGCCGCATCATCGCCGAGAGCGAGGTTCTCTTCCTTTTCAACCCCCATCTCTCGCGCTCTGGTTTTGGGTTTTGTTTTTTTTTTTTGCTGTTGTTGTCTGGGTCCGTTGGTTTTTGCTTCGTTCTCGCGTGGTTTTTGCTAGGACTTGCTGTGGAATTGGAATTGGGGAGGTTGGGTTCTTCGTTTCGTCTCGTTTCGTTTGCTGTGTTTGGTTCTGTTCCGTCCCGTTTTTTTTGGCGTCTAGGGTTTTCATACGGCGTGGTAGGGCTTGGATTTAATGGAAAAAAAGATGGGATTTTTATGTATGATTTGGAGGAGCTGTTTCATGGGGTTTCCCCTTTCTTCTTTCTGGGTTACTCATTAGCCTGCCAATGCTAGAGGTTCTGTGCAGTATAGCTCACTGGATTGGACCTGTTTTTCCCTTTTAGTGTTGCTTATTGGAAACTGGGTATGTTAGTTCTTTAGCTGAGCATTTTTGGGAGAGAACAGCTTCGGCCTGTTCTTGCTAGGAACCTGTCCTTTGCACATTCTGTGATATCTTGGATGGTTCCTCGTGTTTTAGGACATTGTTGGGGAAGGATCTTGGTGTTCGAGTGTTGGACTATCCGTGCATTTTTGTGGCGTAGATTTGACTTTTGTTTTTCAATTCTGGGTGCATAGAACGCAAGAGATAAGAAGAGCCTTTGTGTTGATAAATCAGAATCGGTATGTTGGGATTATCTGAGGATTTAAATTATTTCTTCAATAAAGGTTCTGGTCAGTGGTAAATCTGTGGCGTGGCAGCTGGACACTGACTGGTGATGATTTTGGTTTGATTGCGGTCAGCAGCCATAAATTTCCATTAGATTCAGGGTAGTACTCATTGCTGGGTCACTGCCAATTTTCAAATTTTGTTTCTTATGCATTACCTTTTTTTCCAAATACTGGCTCTAATGGATCTGATGAGATCCATTGAAAACTTCTGTATCCTCAAATTTGGAGATTTGGCAATCGGAATCATATGTTTGATGTTACTGAATGTCAATTAATGACTGGAGCACTTGCCCTGTGTAAACATGATGCTTGCTTTTGTGTGATAGACACACACACACACACTGAGGGGATAAAAAGCATTGTAGAATTTGGCCTCATATTTATCCAATGAGGAATTTGTCTTTCAAGCAGAAAGTTGTCGCCTTTATCCTAAAGAACTTGTCACTTACAAGCTTATGAACATATTAGGAAAACAATTATTTAATGAAAGAAATATATGGCATTGTCGCTCTTCTCCTTTTTGTCTCCAAAGTTCTGTGTTGCACAGTATAAATACAAATGGAGAAGAGATGCTTAGAAGCTCATATAAGTTGGGACAATTCTGCCTATGTTCTCGGTTCCTCATCTGAAACTGGTAGTAGAGAATGGCAAAGAAAAAAGGCAGAAAGCTGGTAATAGCGTCTATAAGACATTGGCAATGATAGTTCTTGTTAGAATTTCTGAGATGATCTTTGCGCCATGGTAAAAGTTTCATTTGTGATACCAGTTCTTGAACTACTTGCCGTACATGTAGTGGGGAGGAAATGCATTTGTGTTCAAGCATATGTTCTCATGGACTTTTGCCACTTTATGAATTTATTATGTATGCTTGTTGTACCTGTCCATGCATAGGCCGGTTTTTTCTGTCACCGATCATCTTTGCGCCATGGTAACACTTGATTGGTTATACCATCATTTAAGGGCTTCACATGCTTCAACTTAATTTGCATTGTTTTTTCATCTTACTAGTGAGATAAAGTTGTTAGCCCATTGGTACTCCTTGAGGTTAAGTTTGGGGATTCATTTATAGTATTATGGGTTTTGTCCTCCTTTCAAAATGGATCAGTTACCTGGATATCTTTTTTTCTTTTAATTATTAGTTGTATCTTATTGCTTCTTGCTTTAGCATATTTATATCACATTTCTTCTCGGTGTATAATTGGGTAAAATCGACTGTATTTTAGATTATGAAGGAAGATGATAGTAACTGGCCAGAACCTGACCGTGTGGGACGGCAAGAACTTGAGATAGTGATGGGGAATGAGCACATTTCCTTCACCACCTCAAAGATTGGTTCCCTTGTTGATGTGCAGACAAGCAAGGACCCTGATGGGCTTCGGATATTCTACTATCTTGTTCAGGTTTCTCTTCATCAACTCTCATTTCTTTGGCACTCCTTATAACTGTGTGTGGTTGATATGTAATGCTTTGGCATGTTTCTCCTGTGATTTATATGTAGTTCCATTGTCTTTGGCACTCCTTATAACCGTGTGTGGTTGATATGTAATGCTTTGGTATGTTTCTCCTGTGATGCATATGTAGTTCCATTGCCTTTGCAGTGAATACGTTGTTTTGCTATTCTAGTTTTACGGTGGAATATACGTGTTTTCCTTGCCCTCATTTTTATTGGTGTGTCCATAGGAGTTCTTGGCCATGTACAGCTAACATATGTACACGATACTGTTTCGTGTTAGAATGCTATTCATTTGATCAGAGACCTGATTACCAAGAACATTTGCATTGCCATTTCTTTGTTGTTTCAGCGGCTCGTCTTACTTGAGACCTAACTGACAGTTCTAACATGCTTAATGCTTATACTGGGTTTACACTACTGTGGCTTTTTAAGTCCTATTCCAGTTATATGCAGATACTCTTTGGCATTTGGTTTCATTTGAATGTTCTTAAGGCTGGAATCTTTTGATTTGGTGTGAAGCTGTCTTCTTTCAGCTTATATCCTCACTCAGAGATTACCTTTCTTTAGATGTGCTATAGTATCTTGGGTTGCCATCATTGATATGAAAATAAAATCCATTAAAGTTTCCTGTTTCAAGTTCATGTGTTATCCAAGTGAGGAGTCAGATAATATATTCACATGCTGGAGGAAACAGGCTTGTCACCAGCATGTGTTATACACGTGGAATGTGAAATGGTTTGTATTGGGTGGAGTTATCCTGGATAAAAGGATGAGAACAAGGAACTTGCCACATGAAGCCCCTTCACCCTCTCCAATAATTTAATGCTGCTTAAAATACGATTAGCTTTAGTTAGTTAAAGTTACTTTAACAATGGCCCCACATCCATCTCTCTACTAGCAGTATACTCAAGAGTCTTGAAACTCCTTCAGCTAAGAGAAAAGACAGCTGAAGCCAGGGGCTTCACCTCTTGAATCTATTTATATCTGTTGATGTTTCCTTTTAAATTCATACATTCTATTATCCCATCAATTATGGTAAGGCAATAGGAGAAGTATGCTATGTCAACTCTTTGTCAAACACTTTGGGTTAACTCACAATCTTGAGTTCATGATAATAATAGAATCACTTGTGGTGCAGGACTTGAAATGCTTTGTGTTCTCTCTCATCTCCCTCCACTTCAAGATCAAGCCAATATAAGGAGGACGTCTCCCAAGCATGTGGCTTCCAATTGTTTGATCCTTTTGGCGGTAGCCTCGTGGTCTGTCTTCATTGATTGAGCAGCATGCATAGTTTGGTATTGTGCACTTTGAGTATGACTGGTGGAATCTCCTTGTTGAGTTTTGGGTTTGTAACTAAACGATGCTTTTAACTCGAAATACCAGAACTCTTGATGCTCTCTCTCTCTCTCTCTCTCTCAGCACATGCCCGCATGCGCATGTGCACAGTGCTGGCTTCTCTTTAACTCCTTGGAGGAGGAAAATGCCCGACCTCGCACCAATTCAGTTTCAAGATTATGTTTTTGGGTGATCAGTATGTGGCTAGTCTAGCTAATGTCTGTTTCTTTGTCTCAGTGTTGGGGCAAACCGCATGTATACATGATCCAATTTGCGCAGCTAATCTTATGCGTTCGTCGGAGAAGAAAGGATTGCTTGCTAAAGCTGCAGATACTGTCTTAATGTCTTTTAAGAATAGTGACTGCTCCTCCTGGTTCAAGTTGTGGAATCTATGATATAAGTACTAGAAAATGGTCGCATAATGCTGCGGGATTTGCTGAAATTTCAATATTATTTTATTTACTAAAAGAAATTTGTAAATATTTATCCACTTCATTTATATTGAAGAACGATATATGTTTGCGGGGGTATAGAATAATATTAATTAAGTTAACCTTTTTGTAATAGACATTAAAGTACGGTGAATCCAAATCCAATAGCTACAATAATTACATGAAAGTTAAAGTCTAATAGAAAGGGGAAAGAAGAAAGCAAGAAAGAAAGTCTGATAGAGGAAGATAAATGGGCCGCTGAAATTTTGATCATTTTGACGTTACGTTCGCCGTTTCTCTCGGTTTATCATGTGTGAAGACTAGTGATCGTGGGTGTCGAGCAATGTCGTGAAGACTCGGGAGCAACGGTCGCGAAATGAATGCTGCAGCGCTTTCAATGCTGGAAGGCCAGAAAAGTTGCAATGGAGTATCATATGTAGAAGGAAACATGTACTTCCAGGCACCTGAACTCACTCAACATTATATTCAGAGAACAAGAGATTCAATGCAGACATTAAGTGCCCAAAGCCTATTTTGTTTCCTAAGACTACTATTTTCGGGCTGCCTATTGGGTATGAACTCTGAAGAACACGATGAACGCCACCGTTTTCGATATGCTGAAAACACTCTGCACATCCACGTTAATCTTTCTAAATGGGATGATACTTCATGTAGAAAGTAACAAAGCGAAAGAAAAATCTTCGGTCCATATTTACATTGGTTTGGACCACCTCCTCTTTACCTCAGTTTTCCACCGTACTTCCCTCAGCTTCCCATCCAAACCATAGTCTCTCTCCATGACAAGATTAATGCCTTCATCGGAGTACCAGCCAACGCCAATGCAAAGAATCCCGTCCTTATTAATGTCGACGTAACTGGCAACACCACCGGGCAACCAAAGAACAGTTGCATCTTGCATGTCGAGCATCTCTTCCTCCCCAAAGTATACTAAGTTCTCGGGGAAGGACCTTTTCTTTAAGGTCTCGGTGCAGAGGTAGACATATGGGGTCTCATTGCCTTCTTCTGCGACCGTCTCCTCGCCATATATCGGTGTGGCACTCACCTCAAATACCTTCCAGGAACCAGTGAGATTCGATGGCTGGGTTCTTTTCCGCAGTGAAAATGGTTTCACATCAAAGTCCATATCGCTGTCACATGACAACAGGCAAAACTTAGGTTTATTCCACAGGAAAGATTGAAACCACAAGCATAATTTTGATAAACTCGAGAAAAACCAAAGACCCTTAACTCATCTCAGTTGGCCAAGAAGGATTTGGAAGGAAAATACTACAAGAAACAACAGATTTAGGCTCTTGAAGGAACATTCCTCTTCAGTAAAATTGGTTCATAAGCATGTAATCCAACCAAATAGGAGCCAATCCAGGGAACAGAATTCAGAAATGCAAACAGACCAACCGGTGTGGCATACTCTTTAAGAAGGGACAGTTTAGTCTATCACATATCTGATAATACTCCCAAATTACGAAAAGATTAAGACCTTCATTTGTCTAGGACAAGCATCACCGCTTTGGGTATCATGGCATCTAGTTCGTTAGGCATCCTCCATAACCCTTCAATCTTTTCTTTTACTTTCAGGAACTGTAATGAAGGCAGCACTATGATGGGGAATAACACCATAAACAAACCATCCATTAAACAGCGCCACTTACTGCAAAATGCAGGACATGAAGTACAGCAAAGTCGTCGCAGAAATAATTCACGCTTGTCATCTCAAAATTCATTCAGATGATTTTTTGCTGACTAACACTATAGGCCTGCAGATATAAAAGACTCTGCACGATCCTCCTTGTCCTCTCAATTGGTTCTTTATCAACGAAAAAGTCTGTAAAGTAAGCAGGGGACTTTTTCTGGACTCCATCCACTACTTAAACATGATATTGTGTCTGTCTACCAGACCAACAAAGTTAACTTTTCATTTTGACTACTGAGCAGGCTGCCTGAGACAACTTGAGAGTTGAACATCTCTAATAGGGCTCTCCAGTTCAATTCTAGTCTAGTCATATAAATTTTTGCTATATGCAGAGTGAATCACTGCAACTCCACTTTCATTTTAGTATAGTCAGGAACCTACTTGCGATTGGCAAGGTGCTTGAAGGATCAAATCATAAGATCCTGGAAAATCAGAAACTCATGTACAAAATTCAAGTACCTGTGCCAAGTAAAGTTTCAAAATATTGCTTCAAAGACCTATATCATCTCCATTACTTCAATTTAAGTAAAACTCGTTTTAGAAAACCTAAAATGTCATGATATAGAACTTTCCAGTCTGAATATAAATTTAATTTAACATAAAGTCAGTCAAATTGCACCTATCTCTAGGAGGATGAGTCTCTAATGATCCTACCACCTTAAGGTCTACTTAAGATCCGAATTTTTTTTCGGAATAGGAACAGATCATATTATTTGGACCAGGATTCTCGATAAGATGGAAACACAAGAAGTCGAAGGATGAAAACATATCCAATATTAATGCAACGTGAATTACATTACCTTTCATCACGAATATTTGCTGGACTAACCCACTCTTCTTCATAAACGGCAACTCTCATTATCTGAATGTCTGCACCCCCATTGTTGAATTCTATCGTGTGGACAATCCGGAGTCTTTTGTGACAACCTTTAACCAGACACTGAGAAAAGAAAAGGGCAGATTAAGAGTGCAAAAAAGAAAATTCACATGACTATTTTTATTCAGAGAACAAAACAAGGCATCTAAATTAAGCACTAAACAAAAGAAGTCCCTTCATTTTCGTGAGCGCTGAAGCAGAAGCTTAAGTCTGATCTGCCTAGGAAAGTTAGATAGAAGCATTCGTAAAGCACCAATTATGTACGATAATACAAAATTCTCCATGAAAAAGAAAATTACCCAAGAAAGAATACCACTGTCATCATAAGTCACAAATTATCCACAACCACTGTCATCTCCGTGCATTCTTAGAAAATAAAACGAGTCCATAGTAGTCCCTTTAGATGTGAGAATTTGACTGTAGCATTTTACGGATGATGCACCCTTGTTAAAAGAAATTACTAGACCATTTTCTTTTGGCCTTGTAGTACTTACTTAAACTAAAGAGAATTCTGGCAGAGCAGCATGTATTAGAAGGACTATTAGGGCAGCAGAATCAAAGAATGTTCAAACCCACTAAAGATGACATGACAACACCACAATCACATGAAAATGGAAATCAGTGACAATGAATCAGAGATCATGAGTCCAGCACTGAGCATTAAGTACTCTGTTTCCTATCATATTGAGTTTCAAACAAATCTGACGCTGAAGAGTATAATCAAGACAAAACATACTCTTTGACCAACAAACGCAATTGCCTTTTCTTCCCTGATTTTATCGTTCTCTTTGATCCAGGTATAAAGATGTGCTCTAAGTGTAGGATAACCAACCAATGACTACATATCTTCCATTATATCTGAAAATAAGAGCTGGCTCCATTAACTCTGACAAAAATCAAAGCTCACACGAGCTGCCTAGGTATTTGTACCAAAAATTCATATGATCTCAAAAAAGAAAAAATGAGAAACCCACTAACATTTAGAAAGAAATAACGTATCACAATGAGACCGCGAGCAACTTGGTTTGCGGAGAGCAATTTAAATTGCTGCAAATTCTTTGTTTTCGTAACGACACTGGGCAATAGATTTTTCTACACCTTCCATAAATTTATTGTCCACCAAAGTCCGCCTTAGTGGATGAAAGCTAAACAAAGATCACAACTTATGCTCTCTACCCATTGAAAAACAAACATTCATGCCTACATCAATGGATTAGAATATGGTCGACAAAGTTGTAGGTGGTGATTAACCTCTTTAGTTGTGGCTGTCACAGTGGAAAGAGGGATTATGCTAGTAAAGGAGAACCAAACACAATAGTCAGACAAGTGTTTATCAAATTTCCTAGCTGGGATCTGTACATATATGATGCGGTGAAGTCTCTTACACAACTGTAGCATGAGGGGCAGGTAGTCTTACAATCAGGAGGGAATTGTCGGATTAAGGGGAAAAAGAAACTACAATATAAACTATTCATACATGTGTACACATTGAATACTGATCAATTGTCACCATGTGCAGACCAAACAGTAACTTAATCTATGCTTCTTCTTGTTCAGGGATCCTTTCTGACCTTCTGGTTACAAAAGGAGTACAGACACATTGTTTTGTTGCCCTAAAGACAGACTGTTATTGGAGGATGTCCTCCAGTCTCAATTTCCTGATAAAAACTAAGCATGATGCTGCATTCTACTTAACTCAAAATAAGAATAAGAATTTGCAAAAAAAAAAACAACAATATTAACTTAACAAGTTGCATGTAACAGAAAACCCGCACCCACGTGTTAAATGTTCAAAATTTGGACTATTTACCTGCTCGAACTTGAAAGTGGGGTTCAAGTAATAATTAGAATCATCAACTTCACCGACAGGAATATCAACTGGGCCCCTGGAATAAGATCCATCCTGCAAAGAACCCCTCCAAGTAAAAATTTGATATTCGTATCCTGTCTGATATATTCAAAGTTGTTTTCTGCTACTTTCCGAATGCAACTTAGTACAACTAGATCATAAGTACCTTTTTACCATAAGTAAGATGAAAATAGCTTTAATGATCTGATCATACTAATTTAATCAAGGACACTATCCAAGATATTTGTGTAGATATTTTTTAGACAATTACATACATCGGAATATCCCATATGCCCACACTATAGGCTTTCCAGCTTCCATGAATCAATGAAGCATTGAGCGTCAACTTGGACAGCTTAGTTGTTCACGTATTAGCCAAACAATTTTCCAGTTGCATGCATGTACTTTCTCATTTTCTGAAAGTAATATGAAGCAGTTCATACCTCAAAGAATACCAGACCACGTTCATAGCCCATGACATCTTCTTCCATCAAATCACTGGCTCCAAAGTTGAAAGAATCAAATTTTGGCAGCATACGATCTGCTGCACTTTCATCAATTTGGTCCTTATTTCCATCTTCAGTCCCTTCTTTGCTTTTCGTATTGCCTCCATTGTTCAATGATATTTCACCATAGGGATTCAGAGTTACCCAGTTTATCTTTCTCTGAATTTGAGATGTTAATTCTCCATTCGATGCTGGAATTTCCTGAACACAGGAAAGTGTGTAACAGTCATAGAGGTTCTCGTTTTTATTACCAATCTCTATGGGTTCCATTTCAGCAGTGATAGGTGAAAATACAGCTCCCACTCCCTTCCATATCCCGCTCACACTACTAGCAAATGTATTCCATACTGGTCTTATTACTGGTTCCTGAAAGGAAAAAAATTCCATGAGTTCATTAAGTTCGAGAAGACCAAAAAAATAGTCATTTCATATCAAGCGGTCTGAGGATGGCATCTACTTTTGTTGTGTTTAGATCATATATCATTTTATACTCATTCAGATGAAAAATCAATTCTTTCAACAATTTTAGACTTGAGTCAGCACAAAAGTGCCCAACCCATCTCTAATCATTTTGGCCCCACAAATGTTTACCGAGCCTTTGCAGAGTAATACTTGCAAATGAGATTTTTATCTTCCTTCAAATATAAACTTGGAGATTATGCAGGACATAATCGGAAGTTTCAGCAACAAAATTATGAACAACAGCAACCGATGCCATTTCTTCTTCACTACTTCCGAAATCATTTTTTCTGTTATCGAGACGAGGCAATATAAAGCTCTTTCCCCTTCTAGAGAAAGATGAAATCGAGTCTTAATATCAAATCACTGCAACAATCTCAAATGTGATGGAGATCTAAAGAATATAGTTCATTACAGACAGATAGAGAGCCGAATAATGCTTGAAATCAGTCCATCAACAAGTATTTCCCAGGAAAACTGCACCAATTTCATCGCAAGCAATGACTAACCATACAACATGTATAGCTGACACTATACATATACAATGCAAAAATCAGGCGATTTCTCTCCTTTTCTATTTTGATTAAGCTTTAAGAAGAAGTTCACTATGATGCACCAAGGGGATGCCAACCCATTTACAGAAGAAACTCAAGGCCAATATCTATCCTTACTTCGTGAGTGCATACAGAACCTACAGATTGTACAGCAATCCTCATGAAACATTCTTGATGTCTGCTCAAATTAAATCATTATCTTTCCAGCAGCTGCATTAGTGAATGATCAATTATTTCAAGTGCAGATCACAAGTAACTCCAGATTCCATCAATCTCAGAAACTTTTTGTATCAATTTGGGAAATCCGTCAATGGCGCACAACCCCATTTAACCCCAAATAAGCGGGATATTCAACAACCTCAACGGAGAAGAAAGCATTGCCAGAAATTATAATTTGCTTAAGAATATCACACCAAACATATGCCAATACTCAAGACCAATAACTGGAGCTAAAATCAACTTTTAAAGGGCAGAGAGGTGCTAAGAAACTAAATGAACCATGCCGTAGCTTCCTGATAAACACTATCTGTCACGGTTCTAGTGAAACAGATTCAAAGAAGCCACAAACTTTAAGCAAGTAACACGTTGACATCGAAAGCACCTTCCTCGGGAGCACATACGGATAGTCCGATAACCTTCATCATTTACATCGAATTACAGAGCGACGACAACAATACCTAACCGAGAAAATGAATGAAAGCAACAGGAGTTTCCCCAGCCATCGCGCCGTCCAAGTTCGAATCCCGCACAAAAAAAAAGTAAAACAACAAAGCAATCAATACAAGAAGGTGATGGAGCGAACCAAACCTGAGTCTGAAGAACCGTCTCGGCCTCCATCAACATGGCGCCGGACACCATGACCTTCCCGTCCCTCCCTCGCTTCCCTCTCACCACTCTCCTCCCCCTCCCCCTCCCCCTCCTCGCCCTCTCCTTCTCCGCAGCGGCCCTCGCGACGTCGTTGTCGACGCTCCACACGTTCTCCTTCCTGTCGCCCCTGACGCTCACCCGCTGCTTGCTCCCCCCGCCGCCGCCGCCGCCTCCGCGGCGCCCGCGGTGGCCGCTCCGGGGCGCGAGACGGGCGGGGCCGGGTCTCGGGGCACCGACGCCGGGAGAAGACGGAGGGAGGCGGAGGCTGCGATTGTGAGCGGAGAGGGAGTGGCGGAACCCCAGCGGCGGCGGCTGCGGCGGAGGAGGAGGATTGAGGGCGGCGACGGCGGCGGAGGAGGTGGTCCTGCAGAGGTGGAGAAATGGAGATTGCATTGCTTGCTGCTGCCGACGAGCTTTGGAGAAGATTTGAGTGAGTGAGAGTTTGCAGGCAGTTTTTTGGTGTCGAGGTGGAGGTGGAGGTTGACCGTTGACTATTTAAGGTTTAATTTTCTGATTTTATTTGAATATATATATTAGTAAAAAAAAACTATAGAATTAATACCACAAAAAATCCCAAACTGGTACATCTGTATCAATTTTACCACAAACTAATCTTTTTACCACGAAAAACCCCAAACCGGTACACCCGAATGCCCTTGATATTATCCAAATTTCAATGATTTAGAGATAGATTTTTAGTTTTGTAAAATTTTGAAATATTCCGAAAGTTCTAGTTTTTTTGCCAAAAAACAAAAGCATTTGATATATGATATTACATCAAACTCAAGCAGTTGTATTATACATGTAGACAGCAATTGCTACAAATATGCGATTAGTAACCGAGGAAAATTTGAGAGAAACTGAAATTAGTACAAACTCGAAACAATCCCACCTTGCGCTTGAGAAAATAAAGGGATCAGAAATGAAACAAGGCCGAGATGACACGATCCTACCCGACTTCCAATTATAATTTCTTGACCTAAAATGTCTCGTACTCGTACCTGAATATGAACCCAAATCGAATTAAAACCGATTCAACCCGACCATTTGTCAAACTATTTCGCGATCTTATATAAAGTGATGTAGGCCAGTAGCCGAATTAATAATTCTGTCATACGTCGATATAATTGGAGAAATATTTTTTTCCTTTATTTAATGTTTATTTCTACGTTGGGTGTGCAAGGCAACGGAATTACGTTATGGAGTTGACAAACGACATGGAGAAATAAGCCCACTTCCATCTTAGTGCTGGTCCGATGTTAAGGGGCCCACAGGATGATTGGGCTTGGAGAAGTAAATTTCCAAAATCCGCAAGCTGGTCTTATCCGGCCCAATAGGCCCAATAGGCCCGGAAGATATTCTGTGTGGTGAGCTCTCTCTCTCTCTCTCTCTCTCTCTCTCTCTCTCTCTCTCTCTCTCTCTCTCTCTCTCTCTCTCTCTCTCTCTCTCTCTCTCTCTCTCTCTCTCTCTCTCTCTCTCTCAAAATCTTGAGTCTCACCGTCTTGGATTCCTTTTTCAAAATCCCGGCGAAGGCGAAACTCTCCCTGAGCATAGTTCCGGTAATCTCGAGCTCTCTTTTCAGATCAATGTTATAGGTCGTTACCATAAACTTACGTAAATACTTAAAAATACGTCCACATCTTTTGTCGAATCGGGAATAGAATTTTAATATCTAAATAGACCACCATCCTGTTAAAATAAAAGCACGAAATCGCGAATAAATGCCAATCGATTAATATAGAGACCCGAGGTTCCGTGCATGCTCATGTTTGTCAATAAAAATGCTTTAAAACCGTACTTTATTTTCCTAAAGAGCTATTTTCAACTCTTCAAACCCCAACATTATAGGAAAATAGCTGAAAGGGATCACTACGTCATCCTAGAAAATTTGCATGCCCGAATAAGAAAAATGGCTCCGTCGTTTCAAAACCTGCTTAGATAGAGAATCAAAGGACATAGGCGCCTGATTGACGACTCACGAACCCTATCCCTCCCAAATTCTCGTCTCGGCTGTGTAGACCCCGGCACGACGCACCGAATCAAACAGCGGCAACGCCATCCGGCAGTGACGAATCAGCCATGAGAGCTTCTTGTCGAGGTCGATCTCGACGTTGCTGACCCTGGTCTCGATCAACCGAGCATGACCTTGGTGTCCCAGACGACGTGGCAGGGCCATGGGTGAGCTTGGCGTGGCTCTAGGCGAGGGACTCCTGCTCGGAGAGCACGGATCTGAGCGAGGGAGAGCACAAAGCGAAGCGAATGAGCACTCGAGCGAGGGAGAGCGAAGCAAGAAGGAGCAGTTGAGCAATGGAGAGGGAAGCAAAAGAGGCAGAACGCTTCTGTACGGTTTTATAAAAGGGGCAAAATTGGACTTTCAATAAGTTTTTGAGGGCAAAACAGGAAACTGACAAAAATTTCATTAATTCATAGTTTCAGCATTCAATATGCTGAAAGCTCAACTTCTCGACCAACATTGACGACAAGTCATCACATGATGATGTTTCCCCCATTGGACTATCAAAATATAGTTAACCCTTAAAGTTCCAATAAATGTCATCGTTAGGGTCCACACATCATCGTTATCACACATTATGTGACAACATGTTGTCACACGATAAGTTATCACACGACACGTAGTCACATGACACGTCCTCATACGATACTTCATCACATGACATTATCGTTATGCGATGTATCATCACAAGACATAATATGTCAACTTCTCCCACGACGACAAGTCATCACATGATGATGTTTCCATTGGACTATCACATAGTTAACCCTTAAAGTTCCTTTGAAGGCTAAGCTCTCCATACGCTCAATATGTTGTCACAAGACACATCATTAGGAAATATTGAATCATAAGTCCTAAATCATAAGTCCTAGATCTTTTTTTAAAGTGCAAGCAAGTCCTTTTGATAAAGGATACATAAAATTACCTCTGTGGCACTTAAAATATTGTGTGTCCGGCATCCTCAATTGCAATATTAATTTAGGGTTTAATTGCATTTTCACTAAAATTTTAGGACTTAATTACATCGATTAAAATATTTAGAAGTTGATTGCACTTTCTGGTAAATGTTTGGAATTTAATCGAATCAATCGAAAGATTAAAGACTTGATTGCATTCCGTACATGAGGTTTTGGACTTATGGTAAAATAAATTTTCTCCACGTCATCACATTACACTATATTACATGACATAACACTACATTACACGTCACACATGCCATGTCATCATCATTCATACAGGCATGCATGTTCTCGAAACACACAAGCACACGTAGTACACGGAGTCATTCTCAGAGCGTCACAGGTTACGAATCATTCGCCTAATTTCGTCTTCAAATATATAAAGATTGCATCCATACTTTGCGAAATAAAATGATAAATGATTTTAAAGGACTCAATCGAAAATGTGGTACTGAGAAGGGTGTCATGAAGGTGGTAACCTTGCCCCGCACGTTATCGAAACCCCCAGGTAGTAGATCTCCGAGTTTGTGATAGACGAGTCACCTTCGCCCGCGCACCTAGATTGATAACACCATGAAAAGTTTAGGCAGTAAAACAGCCATTGCAGCACGTCCAGCCTCTGAAATCAGCACGCTGGGTACTTGGTTTCCTCAGTCCACAGCCCAATCATACCAAATGAACGCATTCTCTTAGCCAACATGGTTCTGTTAGAACGTACCAAGATGCTCGGTCGAAATGATCCGATGCTTGCCGCTCGAATCTGCATAAAACTCGGCTCGACCGACATCGTTTTCTCTCTCCAATTCCAAGTTCGGACGGACCATGGAGATAGCCTCTATAACCAACAACTGCATTTGGTAGCCAAAATTATGCAGAACCATTAACCGGCTGTCGATATTAGTCCCCAGTTTGTTGTCCTTTTCATGGATATAGAGCTTACAGAAATGTCATGGCTGTGATCAAAATGACTGTCATACCGAGCGGTTTCACGAGCCACAGGAACAGAACTTCTCTAAGCTTTACAGAACAAAGCTGGACATATATAGCAGTTACAGAACTAGACATATATCACATAATCATTCCATATACATCAGTTTGCAAGCTTTCGTGTATGACAAACATATAGTGGTGAATGTCTCTCTTTTCCAAAGCGTGCGAAACCTTTTTATTACAGGATGACTAAGAGAGACATACAGTTGATTCCACAAATTGAAAGCCAGGTTCATGCTAAAGTTATTGCTCAACTTAATAATAATGAAAAGCAAGTGCTCGACCTCACCGGTGTTGGAAAAATATTAGGTAACATGAAAAACAATAATCGTTGGAAATCTGTTGAAAAGGATGAAAAAAATAGGATTAATTGTCTGAGGCATGCAAGCATCGTCCTTAAGGATAATTTCGCTCCTCGGAGTACGAAACTCGATGTGATAGATACAACAGACTTTCCACACAGAATAATAAAAGAAATAAGAACAATATTATGTGTATAACCCGACAAAGAAATGAAAGATATGAGAAGGAAAGGAAAATGCTCTTTTTTTTAATCTAGTGTATCTTAAAAGATTGTGGTTTGAAGTTTAATTTTAAATTTGATAGAAAGAAAGAGCCGTTAAAAAATCACTATAAAACAATTGCTAATTATCAAAATAATGACCGTTGTAAAACCGTTATAAATGGAGGTTTCATAAAGAAATAAATCAAATGTTAAAAAGCCGTTACAAAGCCGTTATACAGCCGTTACAAAATGATGACTTTCATAGCGGTCATAAATTCCATCAAACTCGTTACTTTTAAATATTTCAAAACCATTGAAATATCCAACAACCGGCACACGCCGAGCGCATTGTTGGGCCGCACGTGTCTAGCGAGTCACCAAGTGGTTCCAAGGCCTCACGATCCCGGGCCGTTTCAAGGACCAAATGTTGCAGTCTAGCTCACCAATTTCGATTTTCAGTTTTGTATCATTTTTCGAGTGCTTTGCATCAGCAGCAATATGTTTTGAAACATTCCCTTTTGTATGCACAAAAGGCCTCTCCCCCTCCCATTTTGAGCAAGGTAAGTGGCATTCCCTCTTCTGTCAATTTGAATTTTGCTCTCTATTTGTATAATAGCTGTTGTCCATCATGATTAGTTTCTGCTTCTTTTACAGCCAAAAGGCATGCACGTTCGTCAGAAGACCCTTCATTAACCCTGGATTAATGCAAACATAATGAAGGTGGAATTCTGTCGATATGTTACATCTTCACATTCCCTCATATTGTATGAAAACTCAGCAATCACCTTTTCTTTTGTCATAATGAACCAAGTAAATGGGTCGGGTTGGGTTGGGTCGATGCCCCGTGGGCGGATTAAACCCATTTAAGATCTAACAGAAAATAAACTAACCTTTCAATGGAAATGAGAAACGCATTGGAGGTAAAGATTATTGTGAAAATTGAAACATTAACTGATTTATATTTAAATTTTATTAACTTTTTATGTGTACACATAAAATGAGCTTTTTCTCTGATTTTTAACGAACTTCCAATGTAATAAATCATAATCTTCCTATTGAAATGGTGGTTTAAAGATCTTCCTTAGCATAGATATGCTCAATCATATCAATCAATAATAATTTGGCATTGTTTATTCCATGGGAAAATGACACAAATGATCCTTAAAATTTGGCTCAGTATGTAATTTCGTTTCTGAACTTTATATTTGTTCAATTTGGTCTATCAACTTTAGTCTAATCTCCGAATTATTAATTGTTCAATGTGATATCTGAACTTTTTATACATGTTCATATCCATGCATTATATGAAAATGTTTAACGTTGTCCCTGAACTTGAGTCATAACATTAGATATTTTCATCTAGTCTATGGACTATATTGAACATTTATAAAAAATTCAGGGATCATATCAAATTAAAAGTTCAAGGACGATATTGCACATTAGGCTAAAATTTAGGGTCTGCATTGAATAAATTAAAAGTTCAGGAACAACATTATACATTATGCCAAAGTTCATGGACCATTTGTGTGATTATCCCTTGTTCGATCAACTCTCCAACGTTAATAGAATTTTTTACCATACATAATGAAATTGTCCTATAGCTTACTGCCCAGTATTCTGAAGACTTGTAATTATTTTAAAATTATTTTTGTTCATCACATTTGCTGAACTATCTTATATTGACATGAAAAGGCCAAGCCTCTCTTTCCTTACTTACATAGAGGCCCGAAGAGAGGATTCAAAGTGGCCCTCAACTCGCTCGACTCTCCCCTTTCTTAGTCATATGGAGGAACACACGGTTTTGGACTACTTGTAATTATTATTTTTTAGGCATAGAGACAAAAGGGGGAAAGTGGGCACAATTCAAAAAAAAAAAGTTTTTAAAAAAAGCAGATTAAAAAAACATATCCAAAGCACAAACTCGACAGCTCATAAAGGCAAGAGCAATCTAATGTGGGTGACATTGGCCCTTTCGTGGTGTAGAAAGCTGTTTGGTCACTTTGCCTAACAAGTCCCATCTCATCTTACCCAACTTGAATCGAGTGGAACAGAAGAAGAAAGGGAAAGAAGAAAAAGGAAGAAAGAGAAGGAAATGCTTGGCAAAAAGATATACTCACCCCCACCATTTTTCTGTGTACTCTCTCTTGAATTATGGATCGATTTCTGCTGTTGTCCCCATGGACGTCCATGTAAGAACTGATCATACTACGCAACTCAGCATGATAATGCGAGGGGACAAAGGGACATAGGGCAGTTACAGCATTGTGAGGGAACAAACTACACCAATACCAACTTACGGGGCCTCGTACCAAAAGATATAGCTTATAGTAGAGGGGGGGTCTCGAAGCTTATATTCAAGCCTATAATGACCTGTTCAGGCGATGCGGGACTCTTTCTCCAACACGCTCCACTGGTGTGATTGATGCCCAATCGTCATCACCAAGACCCTAGGGACTCGCCTAGCCACCGGGGATGGAGGGTTGAGAGAGTGACCCCGATAACGTCAACCGAACATCGGGCTCTGATACCGACTTACGAGGGTCTCGTACCAAAAGTTATAGCTGATAGTAGAGGGGGCTCGCGAAGCTTATATTCAAGCCCAGAACACGCTGCCTAGGCAATGTGCAACTCTTGCTCCACTCTAAACATGTGAGTTGTGTTAAAAAAAGCAACACGTCAGGATTTTGATGGGAAAATTAGGAAAAAAG